CATTCCTCTTTTACCCTCTCTTATTTCTCTCTTTCTCTCCATTCTTTATTCCCTCTCCTCCCCCTCCCCCACTCCCACTCCAAATAATCCTATCCCCATCAACTTATTTCAGTCCCCCTCCTCCTCCTCCTTCTGATGCTCCCTCTCCCTCTCCCTACCTTTCTATTTAATGCCTCCTGCTTCTCCTGTTGCTTGTCCTTGCCATACTGAATGTGGGCGGGAAGGCTAATGTACTTGGCTGGCCTTTCTGATAAGTGCACCTGTGCGACTTGGTTTATACCTAAGAAAAAGGAAAAAATGGATAGAAGATACAGTCCTTAGAATACTCCATAGACAATTTTATGAACATGCCATATATATCACATAAAAAAAATACCAATCCCTACCTAAAATCTCAGGGAACATATAGGCCTTGAGCCAACCCACAAGTGGAGTTGGGCCATGGGTGTAATGGCTCTCCTTATGGTAAAACAGGATGCCGTCGAGAGGCACAGGGAAGGGCAGGGGTTCGTTGACTAGCCTGGTTAGGGTCTGTGGCGAGCAGTCGAAATAGGGCAAGGGTACAAATCTGTGGGGGAAAAGGGTGTTACTCAATGTGTCTAACAGGTCTCAGTGTATTATACTCATCACCTGATCTCTTTCAATACCAAGCTGGGCCTATGATAGAATGGACAGAATTCATTGTGACAAATGCAGATAAAAGTATGAAAGAAAATTTCTTGTACTGTGAAGTCTTTAATTTTCATACATACCTCTTTTAACTTGTGTCAGAATATTAATGGACCTCCAGTTCTTTTCTTAATGGCAATCAACAATTCTTGACAAGTAATTAGAAATCCAAAGTACAAAATATAAGATCCTACAAAATCAAAAATATTAAAATGAGCCTTACTTCCACCTTTTCTTTTATCATAAATCTCGCCACCTTTGCTTTTGTCTTATACAGAAATGCCCCTTGCCACAGCTACAAAATTAACCTAATTTCTAAATACACATCTCTATGAGTCTGTGTTAAACCTAATTACTACAGATCACAAAATTATGCAACAAAATTTAAAGCTAAGCACTTACAAAGATAATGATACACTGGCCTCTAAACACAAAAAGATATATGAAATGTAGTGTTTTTATACACAGTTTTAATACCCACTTATCTATTTGGTTAGAAGACTATAAAGCTAAATAAAAATTATACTAAATAAAGCAATACCTAATTGAATAGTATATAACATTTAAAACCACCTTTTTCCTGATAAGTAACTAAAATCAATGACTCGAACAAAGACCACAATCCCAACTCAAACAGCTTGATGACAACAACATACACGCAATAAACTTTCTTGAGCACTCACCTGTAGGGATTGTATTTGGATATTTCGGTGGCATCAGGTGTCTCCTCTAACATCCTTGATTTCAGCCATTCAAATCTGAACAATGTCTGAAGAAGAAAATTTGTATATGAGACGAAAAGATCAAAAAAATAAAAACAAATGAAATTTAACAGTAATACAGGGAAAGTTCAAGAAAAGGAAAGTAATAAAAATTTGAACACGCCAAAAATCAACTTACATACATACATACATACATACATACATACATACATACATACATACATACATACACATATACATACATATACACAAACAAACATACATACACACATAAATGTGTGTGATTACCATCATCATTATTATATCAATAATAATGATATCAACAATAACAATGAACCTACCTCGCACTCCATAATAGACTGGTTCAGCCACACAACAAGATCCAGTATAAAGAAGGTTTTCTCTTTCTCCGACCAAATACAGTCAAGCAGTGCATAGCCCTTTCTCTTGCTGTGGTAGCAACCCCCAGGCAGCAGGGAAGGGAACTGGTTAACCATTATCCCCGCTTTGGTATAGGCTCGTGTTCTGCCCTGTGTACGTGGGAAGGAGAGAGAAAAAGCTTTGATAGCTGGAAGTGAGGTTTGTACAATTTTGAAATTCAATAGATGTGTAGTATTTTACTTTTTTAAATTTTTATATACCAGATTCAAAGACTTTAAAATAAAGAAGTTATTATTTGTATTTTATTACCTAATGTAAATTAGTCAAGTAATTTCCTAATAACCATAAAAGTTTCTTGGAATAAACATTAACAGCCAAACAATTTAGTAAAACAGTTAATCATGCAATTACAAGAATGAAAAGAAAAAGTTACTTACCCTAGCTGACACAATAAGACTCCTTTTCCCAACAGGACATAGCACTGAGAGGTATGATGTGGCAAAGTCCTCTGGAACATCAACCAACCATTCGCTCAACATGAGGAAGTTGCGGTATTTTTTGGGCCTCTTATAACATACCTGTTAAAAAATAAGACTTTATGTATCTTTTCTTTTCTCTCTCTCTCTCTCTACTTCAACCAATTTTCCCTTTAACAAATCATTTTCATTGTTTTTCTCTTCATCCATCCCATAAAACAAAGTCTTTCCAGCACCAAATTTAATAATCAAGGTTTCAAAGCATCATGATATTCACTTACCTTTTCATATTCCATGCTATCATCTGAAGAACTGCCCTCTGAGCCAGCACTTTCTTCTTCAATATTACGCAAGTGATTGAGAAGATCATACCTCGCCCTGGTGACATAAACAAGTTATTTATACTTTTAACAACAACAGGAATCTATCTGGATTTCTAAATGCCTTTATTATTTCCTTTGTTTTAAATCTGACATTTAGCTGCTTCCAGATGTAATATATATCAAACAAAAGAAAAAGTTGTGAAAAGAAAAGCATATCTACAATCTGAGAGAAAGAAAAAAAAATACCAGTAGGCATGTTCAAACATTTTCTTACTTCATCTAGGCCTACTCCATATCATTCTTCAATCACAAGCAATTATTTTCTCTAAATTTACTTCCAAAACTTACTCCTTCCTTGCATCTAGAACCCTTTTTCTTCTCTCTTCCTGGGAGGAACCTGTTCGCTTGGCTTTATACAGAGCAAAATAAGGGTGTTCTGCATAAGGTGTGTTCGGGTGTTCTGTCACTGCAACCCCAGTGAGGTTGTTTAGCAAGTCTTCCATTGCTGATCTGTGAATAAATGACAAGAACATTCAGTATATATGTGGGAACATATCTGATATATAAATAATAAAAGCCTAACTAAAATATTTAAATGTTTTATAAATGTCATAAACAATTTTACTCTATTTTTCACTCCCTCATTCCTTTCTTCACCTGGGTCAAGTTGAAATAGCATTAATTTAAATTTATTAATTTAAAATAAATTTTCAATTAATAAATCTTTGAAACAACATTAATTCATTTAATTAACACTGAACAACTTGCCTGCCTTAATTCTTGTAAACTGCAAGTAAGAAAAGAAATAAAAAGGAAATTCTGGAATATCACAATATACTTGCACCTAACATAGTAATAATCCTCTCAAAAAAAATATTTCTAAGTCCTACCTTCTATATAAAATTGAAAACATAATAACATTTAAAAAGCTGAAAAAAATACTGCAAGAACAAGATTACAACAATAAAAATTTAACCAAAGAATTCCAACAGTTCACGAAAGACTAGAATCTACAAAGCCATTCCCTTCGGTTCAATTAAATAATCTGATATTGACTTTATAACATTCATACGCTCTGATAAACATCTATTACATCCCACCACACGAAACAATAATAAAAGAAGAAAGAAGAAGAAGAAGAAACAATAATAAAAAAAGAAAGAAAATAGATCCAGGGGATATAGACTAGACAATAAAACCCTAAAAAGGAGAAAGAAGAAGAAGAAGAAACAATAATAAAAGGATAAAGAAGAAGAAGAAGAAACAATAATAAAAGAAGAAAGAAGAAGAAGAAGAAACAATAATAAAAGAAGAAAGAAGAAGAAAGAAAAGAAAGAAGAAAGAAGAAAGAAAATAGATTCAGGGGATATAGACTAGACAATAGTCTAAGACTCTATAAAAGAAGAAAGAAGAAGAAGAAGAAACAATGATAAAAGAAGAAAGAAGAAGAAGAAGAAACAATAATAAAAGAAGAAAGAAGAAGATGAAGAAACAATAATAATATACAACGCCGTTAACCCAAATTCATCTAATTATCTCATCTACTTACACCCATAGAAACAAATCCCTTCACTCTTCAGGAACAAATGCCCTTATAAACTTACCCTTTACCTAATTTACAAAGGAATTTTCGAGTTAATTAATAGTGATGAAATTAAAGACGTTTTCGTCTCGCCTCTCGCTTGTTTGTTTTGGTTCGCGTTATACTCACAGGGATCTTTATATCTATATTTATTCTACTGAATTTTATTTTATTGATCTATTTTATTTTATTTATATTTTATTATAATTTGTTTTTATTTATTTTATTGATTTGTTTTATCTAATTTATATTTTATTATCATTTATTTTTATTTATTTTATTTATTTATTTTATTTTATTTATATATTGTTATCATCAATTATCTTTTTCTTTATACTTTATTCTTCGGGTAATTGCTTGATTTTATTATGTATTTTATTTCTTTTATTTCTATGCAGGTTAAAAAGGAATTGTAAACTAGATTACAAAATACGAGGTATTTTATTAGGTATTTTATTCAAGTTAAAAAAAAAGGTACACTAGCACACAAAACATGATGTATTTTATTATTCATTTTATCAAATTTATATAAAAAAAAATACTCACTAGCTCACAAAATAAAGCTAAAAAAAATAGGAACAAAATATTTACTCTCAGGAACGTTTCCTCCTGTAGGGATTGTATAATTTTATTATGTGTTTTATTATGTATTTTAATGGAATAATTCTTAATTTTATTATGTATATTATTTTATTATTATTTTTTTTTTATGCAGGTTAAAAAGGAATTGTAAACTGGCTCACAAAATATGAGGTATTTTATTAGGTATTTTATTCAAGTTAAAAAAAAATGGTACACTAGCTCACAAAACATGATGTATTTTATTAGTTATTTCATCAGATTCATAAAAATATACACTAGCTCACAAAATAAAGATAAAAAATAGGAACAAAATACTTACTCTCAGGCACGTTTCGCTGTGAAGATAACATGTAAACAAACCCGGTCCATCACACGTGTATTTTTTCGGGGAGAACGATTTGAAACTCTGTAGAGTGAACATCAACTATCGAGTGCAGTGAAAATCCAAACCCTTTTTAATGGACTCTGATCCCAATTTGGATCCAGGAGAAGATCCTGAATCAGTCCAGTATATGGATCATGATAACCAAACTAAAAGAACAAGAGAAGAACTAGAAAGTGATAACGAAGAAAACCCACTCTCAAAACAACCGAAGAACAAAGAAGCCGGATGGAAAACACCGGCAGAACCACAACCAACAACAAGTAACAACTTAACAAATATGGAGGTAGGAAAAGACAACTTTGTAGTACTCATTCATTTAAAAGATGGATCTGCAAATACAAACTTCAACAACCCACTAAAATTAACTAATGCAATCAACAAATCAGAGTTCCAGAAATACTTAATTGAGGACTCACTAAGAGTACTAGGAGCAGGAAAAGCTCTCAGATTCGAAATCAAAGATATAAAAAAAATAAGGCCATTAAATCAAATAAACAAACTTGGAGAATGGGAAGTAGTTTGCAAGCAACCAACTTCAAACAAATATACAAACTGTTCCTATGGAACAATTTTCCCAGTAGAAACCGACCTCAACATGGAAAATATCAAAGAAAAGATAAGAACCTTAGGATATGAGTCTAATGAAATTACTGAAATAATAAGATTAAAAAAACAAAATAATGACAAAAAAAGTGAAGAAAAATGGGTTCCCACCAAATCCTTAAGAATAACTTTTAGAGGAGCATTACCCAAAAGAGTAGCAATTGGCCATACAAGCTACCAAGTGAGGCAGTACACTTTCCCAATATTAAAATGTTACAATTGTTTAAGGTATGGACATGGGACGGTAACTTGCAAAAATAAAAAAAGATGCAATAACTGTAGCCAATATGGACATAATTATAAAGATTGCCCTAATAACTCTCATTGTTTTTACTGTGATGATAATCATGCACCAAACACAAATGAATGCACAGTCCATAAGTTAGCTCAAGAAATAAACAAAGAAAATATAACACCAAATAACTTAGAGATAAAAAAACAGTTGCAACAACTAAAACCAATAACAAAAAACATAAGTAGTGAAACACAACAACCAAATATGTTTACACAAACAAATAACACACAAGAAGTTCAAGTAACCACAACACCTCAACCTACAGAAGAAAACAGAACACAAACATATGCACAGAAATTAACAGAACCACAAAGCCTCACTTTAGGTCAAAGAACCCCAAACAGAACAAATAACCTAACTCCAAACAGAAAGAAGATAAGAACTCCAAACACCACACAACAAACTACATGTTTTGACGAAAACGAACAAACACAATGTGAAAAAGAAAAATCCAAAACAAACAACAAACAAAAAGACACACTAAATTCACCAGTTACTTGGTCACTACCAACCCCACTAACCCACAAAGATACCACAAATGATGATAACAATGAAAAAAATGAAGAGGATTTCTCTTGGATAAAATTAGCCTCAAATATATTTAAAATAATAACAAAAATAATAAACAATTTAAACTCGGATAAACCAATAATACAAAACATAATGGATGTGATAAACGAGATTAGCAACATGCTAAAGGCAATATGAAAAACTTAATATTGTGGAATGCAAGATCTGTGTTAAACAAGAAAACTAACCTAAATTATTTAATTTTTAAAGAAAACCCAAATATAATAGCCATAACAGAAACATGGTTAAAAGAAAAAGATAAATTTACTCTAAATAATTACACAATAATCAGGAAAGACCGAGTAAACCAAGTAGGAGGAGGCTTAGCCATATGCATCAAAAACGATGTACAGTTTAAAGAAATAAATCTAAGAGATATACATAGGGAAAAATTAGAAACCTTAGGAATAAAAATAAACTATAAAAGAAAATGGCTTAATATATTAATAATATACAACCCATGTAATGATATAAAAACAGAAGAACTACAATATTACTCAGAGCAAATTACAGATCCAAAATTAATAATGGGAGACTTTAATGCTCATCATCCTTATTGGAATGAAAACATAAGTAATAGACAAATTAATGCAACAGGCAAAAACATAATAAAATGGATCAGTCAAAACAATCTAATAATGCTAACCCCAAAAAATCAAATAACTAGAATAGACCCTAAAACAGCCAAAGAATCAACCTTAGATCTAATATTTGGTTCTCCAACCCTAAGTCATATCCAACTAAAAACAGCTTCTCATTTAGACAGTGACCACTTACCAATAATAATAAATGATAATTCATACATAGATAATAACCTACTAAAAGAAAAAAAGTGGCAATATACAAAAGAAGGGTGGAGGGACATTCAACAAGATTTAAACAGCATAGAAACAGGAAATCTAACCTCACTCAAAGAAATTTCAGAGATTATAAAAAACACGGCCTTAAAATATTTTAAATTAGAAACACGGAAATACAAAGATAAACCAAATAAACCATGGTGGAATAAAGAATGCAATGATATTATAAAAGAAAAAAACAAAGCCTATAACAAATGGAGAAAAAAGCCAACATTAATAAACCAAAAAGAATATAAGAAACTATTAGCAAAAGCTAGACTTAAAATAACACAAACAAAAAGGGAATCATGGGAAAAGTTTTGTGCAACATTAGATTTTAAAACCTCACCTAAAATGATTTGGAATTTCCTAAAGAAACAAACAGGAAAAATAACTACAATGGAATATCCATTAATTGAAAATGATCTGCCATTAACAGAAATTGCACAAAAATTAGACAAATTCAAAAAAGAATATATGGAAACAGTAAGCAAAAATCCCAAAAAACTTATGTCAGAATTAGAAAAAGAAAGATTATTCAACTTAAAGAACACTAATGAAATAAATAAAGAAATAACCCTCATAGAATTAAGAGCAGCAATTAATAGTGCCAAAAACAATAAAGCATACGGACCAGACGAAATGACATATGAATTTTATAAGAATGCTCCAAACAATATACTAGAGGCAATCCTAACCAATATCAATTCATACTGGATTAAAGGAGAATACCCAGAATCACTAAAAAATGCCATAATAAACCCCATATTAAAACCGGGTAAAAACCCTTCAGAATCAAACTCTTACAGATTCATAAGCAGAATCTCATGTATTGGAAAGATATTCGAAAATATAATAACCAAAAGATTAATATGGTGGCTAGAACACAATGATAAGCTAGATGTAGACCTAACTGGATTCAGACCTAATAAAAGTACCATTGATGCACTACATACAATTGATAGCCACATAAACAAAGCATTCATAGACAAAAAATATATAATTGTAGCATGCATTGATTTAGAAAAAGCTTTCGACACAGTCAACCACGAAGCACTTCTAATAAAAATGTCGAAATTAGGCATCACGGGAAAACCCCTAAAATGGCTGTATAACTTACTAGAAAAAAGAACTTTCCAAATAAAAATTGGAAATCAAACCTCCGAAAAAGGAACAATAAAAAGTGGAGTACCTCAAGGCTCACCAATAAGCCCAACTTTATTCAATATAATGCTAAATGATCTAAAATTATCAAAAGAAATTGAAAAGATTATATATGCAGATGATATAACCTTATTAACAAGTAATAAAAACTTAATAGAAGCATCAAACAAAATAGAAAGAGAACTACAAAAATTAAAAGATTGGGCCAATCACTGGGACCTGAAAATAAACTTCACAAAAAGTAAACTAATGTGCTTTTCAAATAAAAAGATAAACCAACTACCAAAAATAAGAATAGATAACATAGAAATCAAATACACTCTAAGCCATAAAATTTTAGGCCTAACTTTAGACGCCCCCAAACTAAAATGGAAAAAACATTTAGAAAACCTAAAAGTAGATATCTTAAATAGAATAAACATAATGAAAAAACTAACTTCACTAAATTGGGGAGCAAATAGAGAAACTCTATTAAAGTTCTATAAAATATACATAAAACCAAAAATTGAATATGGATCAACAATTTATGGAGCAGCAAAGGAATCCGATTTAAAAAAACTTGAAACACTACAAAACCAAATTTTAAGACTGGCAACAGGATGTTTTAGAACATCTCCAATAATAGCTCTTCAAGCATTAACAAACATCCCATCTTTATCACAAAGAATAAAAGAACTTGAATGCATTCAACTAACA